ATCAGCCTAGTGTGGTTCCAGGAATAACCTACACATTCAGCTGTACTCTGCCAAGAACCCAGAGGCTGGTTATTGAGATGAATGGTTTTGGTTAATGTGTACCACGAAGTAGGAAAAAAAGATGCCTATATATTTTAGATAGATTATTATCAAGAAATTGTGTGTAAAGAAAAATAATGTATGGTAGGGGAACAGAAATATAAGCCTTGAACTTCCTATCCTGAAAATATAAATCACTGCAAGTTTTAAAGCACTTGCATGACTCATATGCCGAGGTCATAGACCAAATTTGCTGATGGAGGCAGGATGAAACAAATTCGGCTGCATTTTTATGATATTTTTCCTGCTGCTCTTAGCTTTTTATTTACCCAAAGTAATATAATTTTCCAGAGAAGTGTAACAGATCCAACATATGGAACTGCAATCCAGTTCAGTGCCGAGGTGCAGAAGTGAATGGGAGCAGTGGTGTGTCAATAAATAGCTTACTGCATGTCAGGCAAAGTAGTCTCTCAGGAACCATAGTGCCAGCTTGGCAGGGCTCTGCAAACACAATCTCCAGTGGAACTGGGGTAGTAATGCAGTCACTGAACAGGGCCCAGGCCTAGAGGAAATCCAGCTCCAGTAACATGAACTCTAAATGCAGGGCAGAGAGACAGAGGAACAAGAAAGAGGCACTTGTTAATGTGGAGGTTTATAAATCAAGTTTTTCCTCTTGCTTTAGCACAAACTTTGAGCCAGTTCAGTGCATCCCTGAGAGTCAGTATGCTGTACTTTTTCCACTTGAGAAACAATGACATAACACTGAGTAAACTATTTGGTAATCAATTGTGTTGCCTACTGGTGAGTAATATTTTTTGTGCCACAAGAGAAATCTGCAGGAGTTATGATCTAGGACTGAACTGCATGCTGGTTTTATGCTGCTGAGATTTTGTTGACTTTGAGGTTGTTTCTGTATTTTCAGTAGCATTGCTGATGTTTAGATTTTTGGACCAACATAGCTTAGAAAATGAGAGGAGAGTTATTCTGCATTCAGTTTAAAATGTCGGCACATAGCAAGTCAAGAAGTCTGGTTCCAGGTGAAAGTTTTAAACCTGAATGTGTCTTGATTTAATGGCAGGGAACAAGGCTGGCCTGTTAGGAGGGAGGGGCTGTATTATTGAGTGCTCCAAACCATCCCATTTTGTGTGCATGTATGGTTGTAGTAAAGATTTTTTTTATGATATTGAGGCATTAAAAAGTGTGTGTGTTTATAGGTATAACATCATTCTCTTCCTCCTGTGTGTTTAGGGGAAAAGGCAAGGGGCCTGCCTGTGCTGAGTAACATTTGGACCTTGCAAGGTGCATTGCAAATAATACTAACATGTTGGGAGAGCTGGAATTCCTCAGGTTCTTGCTAACCTATTTTTTGCCATATGTCAGTTATATTATGGATGAACTGTGTCACATCAGTAGCATTTTATTTTTCAATAGTCTACTTTTCTTGCATTTGCCACCTAGATCTAACTGGAATCGCCCCTTTTAAATGACTTTTGTCAGCATTCACGTGTGTTATTTGGGAAGGACACCGTTTGATAATTTGCATGTCTGAAAACATAACTCTGGTATCTACCTTCTCCCCTTGCACCACACAGCCTGGGCTGGAATTCTTAATTTTTGGATTTTAGCCCTGGTGAGTGGGGAGGGCAGGTTAGATGTCACCCATACCCTCAGTGCCAGGCTCACATCATCCTCTGGAGGGCAGGGGATGGCACAAAGGCTCTTTGGAGACACCTCTCTCCTCACTGCAGTTACACCAGTAAATGTTGGCACTGCCAGGGATCTAACCTGTAATTTCTTGGTAAATGAGCACTTTTTGTGACTCTCTGCTTGTGTGACTCTTGTTTCTGCTTATGTAGAACATGCAAGGTCTGTCATCTTTTCTTCCATTCACATGATTCCTGGCATTTTAAATTCAGGTAGATTAGATTTAGACTTTTTGTAATGAATCTGCATCATTTTGTGTTCTGCTTGCTCCTGAAATAGCCTGGGGGAACCTGATAGACACGATTTATATGTATCATTTAGAGGCATAAGAAAGCATCAGATTGATTTAGTCTTTCTTTTGTTAGCTCTTTCCTATAATTCTAATCATCATTTCACTGTAGCATTACACCATTGAGGAAAGTATGGGTTTTCAAAGGCAGGATGTTTCCATATTTAGAAGTGGTGATGCTTAAAGGAAAATGGCTTGGAGGTTTTTACAGCAGATTTTCTGCTGGTTCTGGTGTAGCTCAGATCACAATTTGCAAGGTAGAAAGATGTCTGGCATTTATGTCACCAACAGCAAGTTTAATTATTTAATTTTTTGCATTATTTCCTGACTTGAGCAGAATCTGCTGTGGGTAGGAAGCTTCTGTGCAGCACTGAGCTCTGCTGCTGCTGTTGGTGTGGAAGCAGAGCTGGGTGCTGATGCTGTAGTGCATTTCCCATGGCAAAGGGGAAAAAGGACTGATGAGATTTGGCAGTGTTTGTTACTGTGCTGCTGGGATGCTTGGAGTCTTCCACATGGCTTCTAGTCTCTGTCACTTTTACACAGAGCAGGGCAAAGGAGGCAGAAACAATTAGGAGCCTGGAATTTTCCAATTGGAATCAATCAGCATAAACAGTGGGGTGAATTCTCTTCTGATATCAGTCAGTGCTCTTCTGTTGGCTTTAGTAAAGCTGTGCCCATTTGCAGTAGCTGAGAATTAAGCAGTTGTTCTCCTCCCAGCCTTTCTGATGACTTAACATCATTTTTGAAACATAAAAGTCCTGTTTCAGGTCTGGGTTGTTGTCTTATGTGTTTAAATTAAAGGCTTGTCAGTCCTCATGTGACCAACACTCTGAAGAAGATCCACGAGAGAGGTTAGGTAAAACTGTGGGCTTTTTCCCTACTACTATCTGGATTTTCTCAGAACCTAGATAATTTTATCCTATTTGCATCAAACATGCAGGTAACTTTAGAATCCTGCATCTGTATTGTTTCTAGGGAAGCAAAATAAAATTACAAATGACAGTAATTGACATTACATGCTTTAATTGAATTTCCTCCTCTGTGAACCAAAACCTTTTAACCAAGTATTGCAGTGCTATTTCTGTATTTATTTGTTACATGGGTTAATGTGCTATGTGGCAGATCCAGTATTTATCCATTTTCACAAATTAAGCTATCAGTGTCATGTTGCCTTTGAATTGTTTCCTGTATTGATGGCCAAAACGGCTTGAGTAAGACTTTAGTCCTCCCTGGCCATATTTCTGTTTTTACAAAGCTGAAAATTGCAGGGTTGAAAATGAGCCCTTAGGAGCAGTTTGGGAAACTCTAGGCCCAAAGCATCTTGCCAATGTGCTGGGTTTTCTCCCTGCAGTGGTCTCTGCTAAGGGAAGAAAAAAGTGCACAGGCTTCTTGAAAGCTGATGTTGTTGTTGCTGTATTACAGGAATTAGAAATCAAGCTCTGCTTGAATTTATGCTTGTGACAAGTGAAAATGGATTGCAGAGGGAAGGAGTAGAAATTCCTCTACTGAGTTCCCAAGCTGTGCACTTGAGAGCTGCTGAAGTTGTCAACTTCTTGCCGTGTTATACCTTCCGAGAAAAGAGCTCTGCTTTAGCTGATTTGCAGCTTTCTTATTCTGCTGTAACCTCACCTATTACCTGGGCATGATCTTTTGTCTGTTTCTGTAGGTATAAAAACTCAGCATAAAAGAAACAAATCTTACTTACTATTTTTTGTAAAATAACTACTTTTGTGCATGCTAAAACCACCACTTTATAAACAGATATAAATAATGATTTATAAAATAGGTTGAATTGATGATGCAGGTAGCTGTAACTTCAGACTTCGTGAATTTGCTTAATATATAATAATTTCCAGCATCCTTCTTGACATTTCAAGTGAAGCATTGTTTTCCTTTAGTTGTGCTTGTGTCCCAGACAGGATTGCCATAATGAAGTATCTGGGACACTTATGATTCTATTCAGAAATTAAGAAAAGGGAAGCTTGGTGAAGAGCTGCCAGCTCAGTATTGTCCATAATTGAATGCTGTTATTCAGCAGTCCAGCAGTGCAGGTTTTCAGTGCCAGAAGGCAGTGGGGCTCCAGGAGTCAGAATGGGGAGCCCCATTACTGCTTGAGAGTGCAGCATGAAATAGAAATGTTGGCAGGGAGAGCTGCTTTTAGGAATGACCCAAAAGCTGCAGAGCAGTGTGTATCAGAGCCTCCTTAGGACTGGCAAAGAATGTGGTGCCATTACACTTAGGAGAGCTCTGAGAGTTTTTCTGCAAGGAATCATATCTGATATGAAACCTGGGGAGAGGTGTTGTGTAGCACAGCTGAGTAACCCTAAACAATAAATAGCACCCCATTCTCCATGCTTGTCTTTTGGCACTGGTATTTTAAATGGAGTTCCTTTGGAAATTCGAAAGGTAACTACTTTCCATGACTTAGAAATGAGCCAGGGATGTGTCACTTCCCTCCTGCTCCAAATTGAAGCAAGCACTTAGACATTTTATAGCTTCTGAAAAGTTTTAGTCTGTAGAAAACTTCATAGGAATTTGATTTTTAGCCCAAGTAAGTAATTGCTTTAGATTATATTTTCATTGCTGTCCCCCTTTGGAAGAACCCATAGACCATAAAACTAGTTTATTTCTTACCAGTAGTTTATTATTCTTTTGATGGCTCATACCTCTCCTTTTCTCTGCTTTTTAGTTTTTTATATGTTTTTGCCTGCTTCAGGGCTTAATCCTTGATCCATGTGAGTGTTGCTAATTATTTCAGTAGGGAAGTATTTGTAGAGAAAAGAATTCTGTGATCAGGATCTGAATTTGGTAGTATTTGGTAATATCATATGTGCATCTCAATTCAGACAAAAAAAAAAAATAAATTTCCCATTCAGTGTTGCAGAGTCTATGCACAGACTTTTCCTATGCTTTGAGGGGAACTGTGACTTTATTCAGTTACAAGAGGAAGAGGTACAAGTTACCCAGAACAGAAACAGACTGGCATGGCTAAAAACGTGTGCTTTGCACTTGCCCTTTGAGCACTTTGTTTAGTTGTATGACTGAATGACTGATAACAAAAACACACAACCAAAACTGCAACTCACCAAGCTGCAAAAAGCAGATTTAGTTTCTTTTGCAGATGGTCTATGAGTCTCATGTGGCATCATATTAAATTATATAGGCAGTCAGTCGCTTGTTCTGAAGCGATGCTCTGAGCCGGGAGTTGTGATGAGCTTGGACCATTCTGCAGGAAAACAGGCTGGAAAGCTGAAACAGCTCCTCTGAAGAGAGCAGCACAGGGGCCTGCCAGGGGCTTCCAGCACCTCAAGGACTGCAGGTCCCCCTGGGATGCACTATGAGGGTGGCCCAGCGACCCTACGATGGGCTGTGGAGCATTTTGCCCTAAAGGTAGGAGCCCAGACCGACTCATCTGGTTGTTTTGCTTTTCTGGTTATGCTTTCTAACCTTGTATTTTTACAATAGTAGTTATTTTTCGGTTTGCAGTAGTTTGAAGATAAGAATGAGAGTTTATTTTCTTCTTACTCGTGTCAGACTTCATTTTTCCTGGGTAAAAGTAGAAGAAAATACAGCAGTCTGTTAATATTTAATGTTATTCCGTGAAAGTATTTCTGCAATATGAAATAGAATTAGCTGTTTCATCCTAGTGATGTTTCATAAGATTATATGTTTCTATTAGCTTCAGTTTGGTACAAATGCAGTCTTTGGGTAACACTGGCTCCAGTGTGAAAATAGTGATTTTTATCAGCTGAATTTGCACTCAGGACGAGTTGTCATTCATAGTCAAAAGCATGCTTGGGATAGCATTTTTCAAATGGACTATGTGTTATACAGTCGGGAAGTTTAATATTCATGCTTCTTAAAATCAAAACTTCATGGCATTATGCACTTTCTAAGAGGAATAGCAACACAAACTCACAACATCAAAGCTGAAGGCTGCAGAATATTTCTGGGAAACTCCAAATGTGTTAGAGCCATGGTGTAAAACCCATTTGAGGTTATTTATGTGGATGATTGAGTTGCAGGTTTAGGTATGCCCACCTGCAAAGTAGGAAATACAGCCACAGGTGTAGTGTTGGTGTGATTGTTCCTCTTGATGAAATCGGTACATTGGCAATGACAGCAGCCCAGGAAATGCATTTGGCAGGTAGGAGTTCACACGGGGGAGTTTCCCTTGTCTGACAGCTCTTGACAGGTTCTACAAGTGCTGCTCCGAAATTCCAGCTTGTTTGAGATCTCCTGGAGGAGGACAGTGCACGTGTAATTCAGAGCTGGGCTTCACCCTTACAGTGCTGGTCTTCACAGAAACACCACAATCAGATGAACACTTCAGTCAGGTGGTTTGTTTTAGACAGGGCATTTGGGAGCTGGAGCAGCTGTTTGATTTTATAAGGAAATATGCAAAATTAGGAATGCACGGAGGGTACCAGGCAGAGCCTGTGAAGGGCAAGCCACAGGGCTGGATGAAAATCATTATAACTGGTTTATATGGAAAAAAGGATGTTTTATTTGCCTTGCTATGGGTTTGGAAAGCAAGAGGTGCAGGTATTCCTGTCTGCTCTGTCAGGCTAATGTAACATTAGAGACAAGCTTTTAAGGCTGTATTTTAAGTGCCAGGCTTCCATTTTACAAGTGCAATTTGTCTCCAGAAAGGAAATATGCAGATCTATTTCTTAAACTAGAATTGTGGTTTTTTTCTGTGCTGCAGAATGAGGATACTGCTGTTTTCTTCTGTTAAATGAATTAATTCTGATGAAGGGATTTGAAAACTTAGGCTGGAAAGCGTTGATTTATTTCCTGTGCAAATTGAGAACAAATTCTGCTTTCCTAATCCAAACACGATTTCTAGTTTGTGCTACCAAAGTCCTGTCTTGCATCATCATCTTACACTTTTGTGTAAATGTGCTTTAGGAGGATAGCACAGCCACGCTATTGATCACACCACACTGTGGTTTATGCCCACTGACCAAAGTCCTCCCTCTAGGCAGGGATTTGCACAGACAGTCCTGGCTGATCCTTTTGTCCCTGAGCTAGCCCTTAGTGCTGCATGGCTGGGAGAAGCAGAGGGGCTTCCACACGTGGGATGTCAGCTGGACAGTGCCCACTCCTGTTAGACAAGGATGGGGAAGGGAGCTCCCCTTGCTGTAGCAGTCAAAGCTACCTGAAGCTTTTCTGCTGTCAAACCTCCACATTGGCCAAGAGAACCCTGAAGGGCAGTTTAGATTCAGGATGCTAGAAGATATATTTCTTCCGTTTTAAGGTCTCATTTTGCTGCCTTTTACCAAATCCACCTCTTTTTCTTTCAGAATGTAGCTGGGTTTCTGCTGATCCAGCTAAAGCCACAGCCTATTCTTGCCATATTGAAGGCCTGTCGTTGGATCCCACTTCCCAAATTAGATCCTGATTCTGTCCTTGACTACAAACTTCAGTTACCTAGGACATATTGCAGAGACTTGAAGAAACCATCTGTGTGTTAGGAACAAATATTAAACATAGCAAGAAACTGAAAATCTTTCAAGTCAAGGGGAAAAACAGAATTAGATGTTGGAAGTCAATTCAGCTCCTGAATCTGAGAACCATGGTTATATACTCAGGATTGACACAGAAGGTAGTGAAGAACTCCAAACTACCAGTTATGCAAATAAGTAATACATCTACGTATTTGTGTTCATTATTATTACTTTAATTTCTTCAGATGACTCTTATTCCATCACTCTTATGTTTGCTACTTCTCCAGCCTTGGTGTCAACGCCAAACTTGATCCTGGTCAATTTTGATAGTAGAGAAAGATCTTGAAGCATGAGAATCTCTCATAAGATTCTAACATGGTTTTGGTTTTGTTTGTTTTCTTACCTTCTGGGATGTAGAAATGCTTGGCCACTTACTAGAAATCTTTTACTCCTTTGTCACAGGGTCTTTCCTTGAAGATGATGAGATGCTTATCTCAAAACACAAGTAGCTCTAGGAACTGCAGTTTGAAAATGGGGCCATGTGTGACACATAAACCAGTTTGTAGTGTCTGAGAAGGAGCTTTAACTTTCCAGTAAAAGTCGTCATTTTTCTATTTCTTTCAAGAAGAAGCACTCATCTAGGTTGCTGAGATGCAGAGGGTCTCTCTTAACATTTTGTCCTTCAGAAACAAGGCTTACATATACAAGAAGAAAACAGCAAGAAATTCAGGAAATCCTCAGCTTGCTACTAGTTTGCCCTCACATTCCTGTGTACTATTTTGGGGTTTTCTCTTAGGAATAGCTAGAACTTGTTGAGCTGGGAAAGACTTCTTGGAACAGATCCTTGGTTTTGTCTTCTCTGCATGAACGCCTCTTGTTGATGTTGGAATAGCTGCTCTTAGCTGGTTGGTGATTCACAAAATGAGGCAAGTCAGCCCTGTAAAATCTGCTTCTCCACTCCACAGTATTTGGAAAAAATTGTTGCAGCAGGCTGGTGAGCGTGTAAGAAGAACAATTGCCTCCACTTGCACCAAGAGGTCTGCCTGCCTTCTACCCACAGATTTGTAACTGGAGAAATACCAAAGTGTCAGTGAGGAGCACACAGATGCTGTCCCTTCCTCTCTGTATGGCCCCAAGTACTCTGTGTAATTCTGAGATCCCCAGTAAACCAGTTCAGGGATCTCTCAGTACATACCTCAGTAAGTTGGAAATCTTAGCTGCCAGAGGATTTCTTTCCATGAAGTACTTTGCTGTCAAAGGATTTGTTTCAATGAAGTATTTTGCACGTAGGGGTACCACCAGCTAATAACCTGTATGTTTCTGTTGCACAAACACCCCAGCAAAGTATCTGAGACCCTTTGGAGTTTGTTTTGGGATCAGATTCCACACAACACATTTTGATAAGAACTTGGAATGGTCACAGCGTTTCTCATACGCATGGTTTGTTCCTCACTGGGAATAAGAATCAGCATCAATTGAACTCTTGTCTGTGTTTATTCCCCAAATTGCCTTTTGGGATTTTTCAGAGGAGTTTTAAACACTCCTGTAGGGTGACAGTCTTTTCAAAACATCTGCAGATACTGCTTACGTGTTTTAAAAGATGTGTTGAGAGGATGTGTAGAAGGAATGAATGGAATGGCTGGCATCTGTGTTAGCTTGGCACTTCACTGCTTATTACCTCTTAGAAACTAGAGGGGAATTCTGAGAAGGAACCTTCATCCCAAATGAAATGTGAAAGCATGGAAGGCTTAATGAAGCTGGCAAAAGAGAATCACATGTACTCTTTTAAAAAAGGACTGAGTTTGCTTCCTGATTTTTTTTTTTTTTACCTACTTAGACCAGACATCTGTCTGTCTGTCTGTGGAGGGTTTTTTTTTTCCCCTGCCAATTGCAAAAAAAGAAGAAAGGAACAGCAAACTAGTCACTGAGGTACTCGAGAGTGGCTTTGGACTTTAAAGAAAGTTCAAGGCAAAAGACATATAATTTGTTTTGCATACACGAAAATCAAATCATAACATTTCTCCCATCTCCTTTTGTGAGCAGCATTACTCCTGCTCCTTTTGTGTGCATGCCATGTTTGGTTTAATGGAGAAATGAGAAAAGAAAATAGATTCTTTTTTGGAGACTGAGTACTAATGCAGAAACATTAAAGGCAGGCACATTGTTGTCAGCCAGTTTGCATATTTATTTACTTTTACAAATGGTTGGCTTGGAGTCAGCAGTTAATGGAATGAGAATGATGTTCCTGTACAGATCATTTCCTGAGAAACATTTTCAATTACAAACATATCTCTGCTTTTCTTCCCTCATTTGTTATGTCTTGGAGAATAAATGGGGAGTAGCATTTACAACTTAAGGTTTATGTTCTGAAGACAATTTTAACAATGATCCCCACATAAAAAGGCCCTTTTGTAGTTGCAGACATATGTTTATGATGTTTAGTGCTGTGAATATCAAATTTCTGGTGGACGCTGTGTCACACTCTGCAAACTTGTAAACATCTATAAATCCATTGGATCATTTTAGTACCATGTGTAATGCAGATTTATTGTCTTTTGTGTGGATTTCTTTTGTTTCAGAGTTAAAGTTGAGCTGCCAGAACCCATGTTTAATGAATTATGTATTCCAGAAAATTAGGCAGTACTATTTTAGATTAATATCTTCTTTTCCCTTTGTGGACTTCTAAGATGCACATGCCACAGGTATTAGAAATTAACATTTTGGATAGGTGGCCCAGAAAGCAATTATGTAAGTTTGCTTGACTAAATAGTATAATGAACTATGACTTTTTGAAAATATATTTTCTTTCTTTTTTCTCTCATTTTCTAGCTGTCTTAATTTTGGTCAGTTTTCTCATTTACAGGTACAAATTCAGAATTACCCCAGTGGAATTATATGGGTTTATAGAACTGGAGTATGTGAGAGGGAACAGTGAGCTGG